TTGAGATGTAATCTCATGGTTGTTTCAACCAAACATTTGAGAACCCGGTCGATCAATGAACCTTCCGCCTCGCCGCAGCGTTTTGCAATACCGTTGTACACCGACATTAACGTGGTAGAGTACCCGACGGACGAGCGGGAGACTCGGGAGGATTCAGATTCGAGAGGACGAAAAATCCGACTCGGAGTGGACGCCAAGTAAAGGGCGTAGGGGCAAGTGTAGGGGTTGTGGAATAGGCTTTTGAAGCATACTATTTTGGGTGATAGGGTACCCAGGTTATCGATCCTTTTTGATATCGGTGGTATGTAGTGTGGCGATGCGGTGTGCTAATATATATGTGGTTTTGTAAATTGTGGATATTATATAAGTTTGAATTAGAAATGAATTTGTGCATTCTCCCTAATTACCCCAGTTATTATCGTCCGGGTATTGGTGGTTTCCGCTGTTGATATAAATCTCTGATAAGTTTAATTTGGGTCGGCGATACCCTAGGTTGTCGCATCATTTGACCAGAGAAGTGTGTCGCGCGCTCGAAGGGGTTCGGGGTGTGACACCATCCGATGAGTTGGACCAAGTTTCTGTGCCTGAGTCGGCTAATGGTCTTCACTTCTGTGGCATACTCCTTTATCCCCTGTTTCGACTCTGGAGTGATCTTCTTGATTGCAACATTAGAGTTCACGCCAATCAAGCAGCCTTCATAAACTCTTCCAAAACCCCCTTTCCCAAGCAATCGATTAGCTGCAAAACTTTCAGTCGCCTTGACCAAGTCCCTGTAGGAGAATTTCTTGGGTCCTGTCACTTGGTCAAATTCTTCTTCAATTGACGGGAGATCTTCTCCAATTCTGTCATTTATCTTTCTCTTTGACCAGTGAACAAACCAAGCAAAGCCTAGAACAAGAGTGAGCAACAAGAAAGAGCCTAAACCTATGACAGACCACAACTATGGCTTGCTCCCCTTTGCTCTGACCTTGTCATCTGCGTTTGTGTCTGCAGGAATAGTATTGCTTGTTCGGTTTGCATTTTCGGTGACTCGTAGATTAGAGCTAAATTCCCATGAGTGCAGAGTGTGCAACTCAAAGCTCAAACCCGTGGTCGCTGAGAAACCAACGGTCACCCATTCCGGCAAATACTTTGTCAGGTTTACTGAATGGGAGAGCTTGGCAATGTTCCCATTTGGATCTGCGGCATTGATCATAAGGACACTCAAATTCTGCGTGCTAGAATTGTATGAAATTGAAGCGTTAATGAGTCCACCGCTCATGATTTTGTCACTGAACCAATCCACACATGTATATTTGACGGATGAGATGTTATTCAAGTCTATACCAACATGTTCACACTGCGAATCCCAAAAATTGGTGGACCTGTCATAGAAAGTGTCCAATTCCACAGCGACAAATGCAGTAGAAGGGTTGGAAGGGTCTCGGTTTGCACTTACAAGAGCAAGATTGCTGCCAGACGAGTTGCTTGGGATGTCTGATCCATTGGGGGCGAGAAAAAGGATAAAAAAAAAAGAAAAAAAAAAAAAAAAAAAAAAAAAAAAAAAAAAAAAAAAAAAAAAAAAAAAAAAAAAAAAGGGAAAAAAAAAAAAAAAAATTTTTATAATGATTAAAAGGTATATATTTCAATCCGTCTGATTGGAGGGGGAAAAAAAAAAAAAAAAAAAAAAAAAAAAAAAAAAAAAAAAAAACATACATCTGGTTATGTTCTGAATCGACGATGAAGCTGAACTGAGTGGAGAAGTCTGCCACATTGCCAGTCGACTTATCCCAAAGGTGCATCGGTTCGTGGTATGTGGCTCGACCCACGCTGGAATTAAGGTTCCGATTCCTATCACTTACGGTGAGTTGGACGCGTGAAGGTGACTGAGAGGCGTCACCTTCGGGGACAATTCGACCATCAAAAGCCTGAAAATTAAACGACATTCCATCACATAACACTGAAGCAATGAATGTGAAGCTTAGATAGAAGAACAAGACTAAGAATAATGCTCGAAGCCTATGCATGTTCTCTTAAAAAGAAAACGTTTCTACATGTCTAATCTGTGTTTGGTGGTGTCATGACTTTGGCTGTGGTTTTTATTGGAGACCATCTTGGAATGGTTCAATGAAAACCACAGGAAACGACATGAAACTTCACGATGAATGGTTTAAGGATGAGAACGGCAAGGTCGTGCAATGATCTTGCCATTGTTCCAATCATAGAGATATGTTCCAAAAGAAGAATAGTACATTGTAATGAGAAAATGTTAAATTATAGGCAACATAAATCTAGTGGAGAACTTTAGTGAAAAGAATATAATTGTGTTGGATGCCGTATCATCGCGACATAAGAGAGTACGCCATTCACATCAATTGCATACAAATTGTTCAGGACCAAGTCCATCTGCACATCTCCAGAGAGTGGGGGCCTCTGGACTTGTCCTCAGGATTATCAAAACAAGTATAGTATATAATTAGAGAAAGAATTCGTCATTAGGAAATCCGGAGTTGGTTTATAAGACACTAAAACACCGTGCAGGACAAAGTTGGGAGTTTTGGACTTGGGCTAATTAGCCTTTTCTCGTGTTCGGTCCAAAGTTTGGACTCCAAACAATGCCACGGCCAGTTGAAAGGGACTGAGTAACGAATCATAGTGACCGGATCAATGTCTCAGTCAGAGGCAAAGATCGATCATAACGAAGAGAAACAAAGTGGATGAAGCTCTGGTCACGCAAAGGACAGAGTTTCATGTGATGAGATCAATGAGGAAGGAAGACATGGGAGAGGATACTTTAGACGCGCCGTTGCCAAATGTTAACTTTGCCCTAGACGAGGTTAAATAGTTATGAAATTGTCAAATCTTTAAGTGGTTTTCAAATTTTAATTAATTACAAAAAAAAGTTATAAATGAATCTACGTATTAACATTTGCATTCTAGAAAAGTTTCTAGTGTATCGGGATTTAAGAAAAAGTCGAAGTGCACAAGTCTAAAGATTCTGATTGAGCAAATAGTAAAATGTAAAAGTTAATCCAGACAAATTCTTAGCTATGTTTTAATAGTTCCTTCCTACGAACTTTCTGATTGGTGGGTCAAATATCAGTGTCACCTACATCGATATATAGGTTAATTTGCATGTAGATGATATTCATAATTCATAACTCACTTAACAGATATATGTTTAGAGAAAACTTCCTTCCAACAAAGCTAAAATTCTAGATGTGTACTATTTCCCTAACTTTGATAGCTTAAAACTTCAATAAAGGCATTCTTTATTTAGAGAAAGCAATGATGTCAAATTAATCTTTTAGCTAATAAGTGCATTATATTACAAAAAACTTGTTTTTTTTTTCTTGCAACGTTGAGCGAGTTCATACTAGCTTTCAAGAAAGTGCAATGAAATCCTTTCTCGAAAGATTTTTACGTAGTAGTAGGAAAATTGTTGAACGTGGCAAGTCTAGAGGTTGGCGTCGAGGGCAAATTTTTGAAATGACGATAGAAAGTACTTGACTATTTCAGAGATATGCAAAAGAACCAAAGAAACTAGGTAGAAAGGCAAAGGATATATCTGTCCTTAATTAATCGTAATTTTCTCTTTTCTTTGAAAATCGCACTTTAAGATGCGTGACAGCCCTCGCTGGCCAGTAGCCTCCGACCCCGTTTCACCTTGTGCCTGTCTTTCGATGTCACTGGGTTTTAGGATTATGTTGTTTTAAGACACAAACAATACACCCTCTAGTGCACTTTTATGTGGAACTTTGTAAATGATAATAATTGAAATTTTGACAATTTATATTTGATATTTTTAAAATACAAAAGGTCACAAGAGAGCGCAGGATGAGAACTTGCGGTTTCAACATTCCAAGTGCCGGAGTGGCCATAAGAGCCTATATAAGTTCTAGGTTCCAAACAATAGGAATCCGTGCCCATTTGGGAGTACTTGGCAAGTGGAATATGTCCCACAGAGCATCGTCGGTGGAAGATGGCGTTGCACATCGGATATTGGGAGTATTTGGCAAGTGGGGATTGATATAGTGCTAATAATAGTAACAATAAATAATGCAAAGAAACGAGTTCACTGCATTGGAACAATAAGACATGAGTGTTGGGTTTATCAACGAACTTTGTCATGTAGCTCATTTTATATATTCAAACAATAGGAATCCGTGCCCATTTGGGAGTACTTGGCAAGTGGAATATGTCCCACAGAGCATCGTCGGTGGAAGATGGGGTTGCACATCGGATATTGGGAGTATTTGGCAAGTGGGGATTGATATAGTGCTAATAATAGTAACATTCAATAATGCAAAGAAACGAGTTCACTGCATTGGAACAATAAGACATGAGTGTTGGGTTTATCAACTAACTTTGTCATGTAGCTCATTTTATATATTCAACCGTGTAGCTTGCCATTCATCAATTTCGATTATTGTTCTCGGTTTGATCTACACTTGAGAGATGGTGTTCAAGTATCCCACATTGTTTGCTAATGAAGTTTTAAGGACTATGTACTATGCCTCCATCTATCTGTCCAAATTTCTGGATTAGCCTATCTCATAGTTGGTTCCTCGTGTTGTTTGTCCTTAATTTGTGATATTTGGCTTCTTGAACCTCCTTTCTACGAACAAAAGAAAAAATCCGTTTAACTTTATCCGACTTTGAGTACACTCAAGATGATAAAATCTTGGATACCGAAAGCAATGGGGGCATACTAGATCTTACAATTTGTGCAATGAGAGAATATATGTTTTATAAAAGTTTAGTTAAGACCAACTAAGAAGTCTTGGTAATTTCACGTTATTAGTTCAGGCAATGAGAGCGCACAATTTGTTTTCAACCCTGAATTTGTTTGAGGTTTTCACCTGTTAGTTGTATTAGGTTTTAAATTCCATGGAGCATGGAAGAACAATAGAAGAATGGTAGTTTTATCTAGCAATTGATAACAGATAATACACCGTCAAAGAAGATACATACTACATTAGATAATCCTGGAGAACATATGGAAGTTTAAACATGAAGAGTTAATACGGAGGTACACATGAAGAAATTTATATGAAAGCAGACAGTGTCCGACATCAAATCTCGTATTACAATTCACAATTCAAACTGATTATTGCAAAAATATACTAAAAGTAGTCATTTATATTGTATTTGCAAACAATGGAGAGGAAGCAGAATGAGAGGATTGTATGGAAGAGGTAGTAAATGTGGACACTTCGGTGCCGCTGGTTGAGGTGGCATGGGATGAGACAGTCGATGCGGTCGTAAATATGGACAGAGGCGCCGAGTATGTAGGGATTGGCAATTTCGATGGGAGAATGGGTGGTGGAGTATTAAAGTTGAGAACGCTTAATGCTTCTCTTATGGAAGGACGGGCATTGTGGTCCGGATGAGAGCACCACATCCCTACAACCACCAAGCACTCTAGTTGCTTTTCATCGAAGTCAGTATTAAGTTTCGGCTTCGCTGCATCAAGTAGCCTACCGGTCCCATAAAGCTCCCAAACCCAGTCCACCAGCTGGACTTGGCCTTCCTCGGCCCTTGGCTCGACAACTTTTCTTCCACAAGCTATTTCTAATAGGACGACTCCAAAACTATAGACGTCTGATTCCTTACTTGGTTTGCCCTTGTAAATGCATTCAGGAGCCATATAGCCGATGGTTCCGGCCAACACTGTCGTTTGTAACCCTTTGGCATGGTCAACTAGTCTAGCCAAACCAAAGTCCCCTAATTTAGCGTTAAAATCGGAATCGAGCATGATATTGCTGGACTTTATATCGCGGTGCACAACGCATTGTTCCCATTCTTCATGGAGGTAAAGCAATGCTGAGGCTATTGCTTGCGCAATTTTGTATCGCTTCTCCCATGACAAGAAGGTTCGTTCTTTGAATAGATGAGCATCAAGGCTACCATTAGACATGAACTCATAGACAAGGAGGAGTTCCTTTTTCTCGTGACACCACCCGATGAGTTGGACTAAGTTTCTGTGCCGGAGCTGGCTTATGGTCTTCACTTCGGTGGCATACTCTTTTATGCCTTGTCTTGACCCTGGATTAATCTTCTTGATTGCAACATTGGCATTCACAGTGGTCAAGTATCCTTTGTACACTCTCCCAAAGCCTCCTTCCCCGAGCAACCGTTCAATTGCGAAATTGTCGGTGGCCATGGCCAAGTCCTTGTAGGAGAATTTCTTGGGCCCTGGCACTTTCTCGAATTCTTCATCAATGGCCAGATCATCTTCTTCTCCGCTCACGTAAGTTCCCTTTCTCTTCGAACAGTGACGAAAACAAATAAAAGCTAGAACAAGAATGAGCAGAAAGAAAGAACCTGAGCCTAAGGTAGCCCATAGCCATAACTTGCTCTTTTTTCCAGCCACTTGCACATTAGAGCTGAATTCCCAAGCCTCAATAGTGTGCAGCTCCATATCTGTACCCGTTGCAGCCGAGAAACCCAAAGTCACCCACTCCGGCAAATACTTTGTCATGTTGACTATATCATAGATAGCGGAGGAATTTATGTCGGCGCCCGTGGCATCGACGTCTATCATGAGAACGCTCAAGTTCTGCGTTGTAGAATTGTACGTTATCGTAGCATTGATCCGCCCACCGCTCATGATTTTATCCTTGAACCAATCAACACAGCTAGACACCGCGGAAGTGAGATTGTTCAAGTCTACACCAACATGTGCAATTTGTGAACAATTCGGATCCACAACACCGACAAAGTTGTTGCGATAAGTGTCGAACTCAACGGCTACAAACGAAGTAGAAGAGTTGGAAGGGTCACGGTTCGGATCTACAAGACCGAGGTAGCGTCCCAATGAGTTGACCGGGAGTTGAGACCCTTTGGGGACAAGAAAGAAGGTCAATCCATCACCGAAATTCGACTTTCCTTGCGAATTCACAACGAAGGTGAATGTGGTGGTGAAATCCGCCACGTTCCCGGTTGCCTTGTCCCAAAGGCGCATCGGGTCGCGGTACGTGGCCCATCCCGTGCTCAGGCTGGCCTTTGTAAGTTGGATGAAGTCGCTCGAAATTGTTGCGTCCCCTTGGCGTCGAATGACACTATCGTTGAAAGTCTGAAAGCTGAAATTGATGCCCTGAGACAACGCCGAAGCCGTGAAGGTAATGGCTAGAGAGAGAACCAAGACTAAGAGTGACCGAAGCTCTCTGGTCTTGAAACTTATGGTATTTGAGCTGTGAAGTTCCATTCTCTTTGAGGTTTCAAGATTGCTCTTGAATTCAGGGACTTTGTACAGCCTTTTGATGCTCTGACGTTGTTACATGCACATATATGTGAACGTGGAGGGTCCCAATGACCTAGGCTTTTGGTTCTTGAACAACTTGCGATCGCAATGTAAAAGAAACTGAGATGGTCCACACGAGGTTCCCCGACGACTAGACTTTAGACTAGCGCAAGGGTTCATCGTAGGAATTAATATAATCTAAGATCATGTTTGATTACGCGTGTGCTAATCGTAAGATGACCGCCAATTTTGAAAAGTGGGATCGATTATTGGTTATTGTGACCACTACTATATGATGGAAAGAAGAACACGAGTTCATTGTACTAGAACAACATGACAAAAGTTTGGTCCGAAACCCCGTCTTTCTTTTGTGTTTGGCTTTTCTTGTTTGGTCAGAAACAACGGCCATTACAATACAGAGGGGCAGCCACTTGAGTCTCTTCTTTCATTGTCAGGACCCGGGAAGGACCATGACCCTCGGAACCGTCTGGAAGCCATTTTCACACCCGTTGTTCTCAGCCGCCGGGCGACGGACCCACCGTGAGGCGGGCGGGAGCTGCGGTGATTCCATCCGCTGGTCGTCAATGCAAATCTCTTTGCATGTGTAGAGTATTGTTTATGAAAGTTGTTATATCTTAATCCTTGAGTCTCGAGTAATGTAATTCCTTTATCTCGCTCTCTAAGCTAAGTTTCCGTGTCCACAATTATCACCGTCAGTTGCGACTGGCTATTGTCAATTGAGCATCTCAACATGACCTACATTTGACCTTCAATTAAATTTTATTGCCCTAATCACTATTTAAATGATGTTCATCTCGAGCTAAGCCATGTAATAGGCGTTTTTTTGACAATTAATGGCAAAAAAAAAAAATCACCAGTCACCAGTTTTTCCAACCATTATTTGGTAACTTATCTTCACGTTTATAATGTACCAATAAAAATATTGTTTGCAAATTACCAAATTTTTTTTATCTTTACCGACTTTTATTCACCCCTCTTATTAATGCCTTAAATTTACTTACTCTTATACAAATTAATCAATTTTTATTTAGGCGACTTACCGACCTTTTTCCGATCTAATTCACATATAGGTTGAAGTTATCAACTCTGATTTGAGTTACCTCCCAAATTTTATTTGATTTTTTTTAGTTTATCAACTTTTATTATGGTTTACCAAATTTTATTTTTGTTTCGTACAAGCTTCACAACTCTCATATGAAATTATCAATTAGTTTTGGTTGCCAGTGCAAGGGTTCGGGATCTACTTCGTGATTTGTCGCTCGTCTTGAAGAGGAATCATGCCGTGTGGCCCCAGTTGGTCTTCGTCGAGTTGTATGTACCCGTCGCAAACTATCTCAAATATACACTCATGCTTCGATCGGTCATGTAATTCATTCTGTTTTACACGCCATGAATTACCTATATTAGTTAAGAGTGCGTACTTAGGTAGATACTAGCTCCACGATGATCAAATTTCGCCATTTAGCCTATAAAAACTCGGATTAATATTCATTAATGATCCAATTCCACATGCGAATCTCTGTTTTTTTTTAAAGAATACATCTATTCCTTGTTCATATTCGGTGCGGGGCTTTAGTGATCGGCGACGAGCCAACTCCGGATCGTAGCTCGCAGCCGACTAAAGGGCTGATCGCCCACTGTGCAGACCACGTTTGTGTCTGTACAGAGAGCGGGCAGCCCTTTCTTGGGTCTCCTTGAGCTTCGTTGAGTTGGTTCCGATGGTTCCTTCGGCCTCAAGTTGATTCTGATGCTTGAATGTACTGTTTGCGTCTGTGTAGATATAACGCAACGGCTTTGCAGCTATATCATAGCGATGAAAACTGGGGTGTGATGCGACTCGTGCTCGAAACAGGAGCTGTTTGGTTAATTGATTTTGTTGTTTCGCAAATTAGCTAGTATGTTTCACAGACTAGCTGAATTTTATTGTCCCAACACTCATGCGGAAAGTACAAAAAAAATCAATCAGTGCATCTCATGATAGGAACGTTTGCATTTACATTATCGCTTTTGCCAGTTCTAGCTATTTGTTTTTTTAAATGATTTATAGGTTTCTTTGATTTCGTTGCATCATTCAGGTTCAGAAGCATCATTATAGATGAATTACAGTATAAATCATTAAATTCATTTGGATATCTTTTGCATTTCAAGATAGGATTACTTTAGTCTACTTTCACTAGTTTTATCACCACTTTTTTTAAGCTAGTTGAAGGCTTCTCTTTTAATTTAGTGCTTGTTTACCCTTTATGCCTAGTAGGGTCTCTACCGAGGTCTTACTATAACTTTTCCGTATACGACTTGGGTTGTTTTTTGTTGGGAAAACATCCTTATGGAATTTTGATTATTCCAAAACTATCCTTGGTACTAATATCTTCACGATAAATGCAGATGGTCGTGGTAACCTTAGGAAAGACTATGATGATATCAATAATCTCCAGGAGTTCAGTGAAGATTGATGAAGATCACGACAAGAGGAGAACAAGTCAGATATGACATAAAAATGATTAGGAAATGGAGATACCATGGTCGATCTGCCGTCAACATAAAATTTTTGGAAGTGACATACTCAGAAAGATTATTAGATGATCGATTGTAAGTCATTCTCATGGTGCATGTTGACACCTATTTTTAATTTGCCCAAAATTAATTGCACAAAATTTAGGAATTAATTTTCTTTAATTCCTAAAACAAAAATATTTCAATTTAAATGCATTGCATATAGAAATTAGGTACATTTGCACTAATAGAGTCTATTATAGAGTTTATTTTAAAAAAAAAAAAAATTCGAGTCGGGCCGGGTCGGAGCTGGGCCGACCCGGCCCATTTCTTTTTTTTCCTTTTTCCCCCCGGGCCCGGCCCCTTTTCCTTTTCTTTTTTTCCCTTTCGCACGGGCCCGGCCCGCTCCCTTTTCTTTTTCTTTTCTTCCTCCCCGCGCAGCCCAGCCCATTCTTTTTTTCTTCTTTCTTCCACGCCGGCTGGGCCTGGCTTGGCCCGGCCCTCCTCCTTCCTTCTTCCCCCGTCGCTCTCGCCGCCCCTGTTCGCCTCTGTGCTCGACGGCAGCGTGACGCACGACGGCGCCGCTCCTCGGCGTCGCTATCCGGCCGAGACGGGGCCGGATGAGCATCTTACGACGGGATCGGCATTAATTGCCCGATCCCGTCCTCCCCATCTTCCCGGCTCGCCCTTATCCCCTCCTCTCTCCCCGGTTTCTCTGTTTCTCTCCCTTGCATCCCGAACCGACACTTCTCCGCACTGCCTACGGCGCTGAATTCGCGAGCCTAGGCCGGTGCAGGCCATCGTCACGCGGACGCAACGGAGAGGGAAGCCACCGTCGTCGCCGGCTATAAATAGCCAGAGAGAGAGAGAGAGCCCCGGTCGGCCGAATTGAGAGAGAAACAGAGAGAGAAAAATAGAGAGAGAAAGAGAGAAAATAGAGAGAAAAAGAGGGGAGAGTTGGTTCTTGCAGGTTCCCAGCCGCGTCGCCGTCGCCCCCCGATCAACCGGAAAGCCCCAGACGCGCCGTCGACGGTGAGCTCTCCCCCCAGCCCGAACCGCCTCTGTTCTGCTCTATTTTTCTGTTCGGTTTGGCCGGGACTCGCGCCGGCCGTTTCGCGCGAATCCCGGCCCATACCGTCATCCCCCGCCGTCCGTGTGTCCTCACCGAAGGTAAGTTGGGTCGCCTGAATCCACCGGTTCGCCGGAACAGGTCAGGATTTGTTGTTTTCGGTCACGTACACCATCTGCTCGACAAAAGTCCTCAATGAAACCAGGTTTTGTTTTTGGACGCGGCCGGCGAACTACGGCGATCAGACAGTGACCCCGATGGGTGGAGAGGCTCGGTTTACTCCCTGGGAGGCCGATTTGGGGGCGGCGCCGGTCCGGGTCCGCCGCGAGAGGCCGTTTTTGGCTTCTGGGGCGCGGCTGCTCCCACTTGATTCGGCGGCCGATTTGTAATAGCCAACCTTGGCCAACGAGCCGGCCTGGATCCGTTGACCCGGTCGGTACCGACCGATCCGGTTCAGCTGATCCGACCCGGGTCAACAACCGGGTCGGATCCGTTGACCCGGGTCGGACCCGACCCGGTCCGGATCCGCTTCTTTATTATTATTATTATTTTTTATTTTATTTTATTTTTTTTAAAATTTTTTTTTTTTCAAAATTTTTTTTTTCTTTTTTCGTTTTTTTTTCTCCTTCCCTTTTTTATTTATTTTATTTATTTAAAAAAGGTTTTCGTTTTTTTTTTATATTTTATTTTATTTTTATTTATTTTTATTTATTTATTATTATTTTTTTTAAATTTTTTTATGTGATATATTGTTGTTATTTTAATTTAATGTGATATTATTTTGTAAGTTTTTGTCTTGTTTAAATTAGACAAGTCTGAGGTTGAACGGTAGTATTTTGCATGTTAGTTTTTATTACCGTTGTATTGTTATGCATGTTTTTAATACAATTGCATGAGTGTTGTATTTTTTGAATGTCATCTGACTTAGTTAAGGTTAGAACCTTAGGCTGCATGAATTGCTGTGTTCCTGACTGCTGATCGTTCCTGATTATGCACTCGCTTGATCACCTCACATGTTAAGAGAAAGGTCCTAAAATCAATCCAAATTGCCTGACAAATGTTTTCAGAAATGAATAGGGTAAAATGGTACCGAAAGGGCATTAGTTATCCAACTAGTGTAACCAAGTCCCCGAATTCAGTTAATCTCTGGTTCGTAGGAATAGGGTGATTCTCCCATCACCCTATTTGGGTTTCTAATCGGCCCACCCCAAATCGATTAGTGGCGACTCCTTGGTATAAACCACTTGCATGTTAAATACTTAAACCCTAAGTCGCGATATGGTATGGGCTTGGGAGGGCCCGAGTTAAGTCCCGAACCTAGACTTAGCACGTACCAGGCGAGCCCCCCTTTTTTGCATGTTGTTTAAAAAAGGGCTCGGGAGTTCGGTCGCGACAGACTGGCGACTCCGCTGGGGACTTGCATTTTTTTCAAAGTGGACTTAAGCCAAAATTTTTATCTTGTTCAAAATAATTTTTGTTTGGCAGCAAGGACTCCAGGTATGATCCTGACAGTAAGGTGATATTTGTCTTGCGGGTTCGAATTGAT